TTAAAGCAGGCCTTGGATCTCATCATTCTTCCCTGCACGCCTGGGACAATGAAATACTGACTCGTGCATCTGTTCTGTATGTGTATTTGATGCAAATAAGGAAGAAGTCTGTAAATACATCAAAAACCATACTTTATTTTATGTATAGCAATACAATTTACATATTAAATAACACTATAATAGAATGATTTGATATAGTTTAACATAACAAAAAGAAGATTCTTCAAGTTACAAAAAACCCCCAAACAAAAAAAAAAACAAACCGAACAAAAAAATCTCCCTCAAAATACTCCCCCCCACCCTCTCCCCAAACCAAACACCACATTTTTTTTTTTTCTGAATGGATCAATGAGACAAACGTATCCAGTGACTGGCTAAGTCTAATTCCTATTGCACACACTGACAATGGAATCCAAAAAAAAAAAAAAAATCCAACTTTCACAATCACTGCCCCAAAGAAATGACATGTGTGGAAATCTTTTTTGGAGTGTGATGATGGTGTCTCACTACCTCGAAACACAGACGGTCTGTATTCACATAGCCACCACAGAACTAGGAAGGAGGTGAAACTAGAAAAAAATTAGCTTTATATGAAAATATAAAATTCTATGATTATATACCATAGATACAAAGTTCCCAGAAGATGCTTATCCAAGCAACAAAATATTTACAGTTTTAATGACTTTGCTATTTTAAAAATGAAGGAAAAGAAAATAGGAGTACACATGAATGCTTCGGTCTTTAGAAACAATGTCTGCTTGCTAGTTTCAAATGTTCTAACAAAAGAAAAAAAGTCACTACCCCAAATGTTGGAGAGTTGTGACATTGTATAAAATTGACTATCTCCTCTTTTGGAGACGTTTATTCTTAAAACTCAAGACATTTTTCTTGAAATTAATTATCCTCTGTAGAAAATGCTTCCCTTTGCAAATAGTTAACAAAAACACTAAAAACAGTTTAACAGCTAAGACACAAAGTAGAGGCCAAATCTCTTCATTATAGTTCCTTCTCTTTCTTTATTTTTGCATTCCTTCTCCTTTGATAAGTAAAACCAATGTAGTTCACATTGTTAGAATGGCAACAAAGAGAAGAAGAGCAAAGGGGTAACAGTAAGAGTTGAATTACGTCTGTAAAAAAAAAAAAAAGAAAAAGAAGAAAAGCAATGCAGTGGATTAACAAATAGGCATTTTCCCTTCATATAAAAATTGACTGGCACCATTTGAACACAAACTTCAGAACACAAGATCTGATGTCAGAAAACATGAATTTGAGAAAGACTGCTAAATCTTTAAGACAACTACATTTTAATTTTTTTTTTTTAAATTAAGTTGGTTTTGTTTTGCTGAGAATTAGTAGCATGTATCTTTGGTAGAATCGATATCAATATTTTTTAGCTTTTAAATAAAATATATCAGCTTAAAAAAAGATTAATAAGAAGGCAGTTGTGCTGTGTCAAAAAGATTCTTCTCCTAACGTTCCAATGTATCACTCTGGGTTCAAGCAATTCAAGCAGTCAGAAACTGGAAAAACAAGTGAAATTTTGCAGATCCTGTAAATGATTCCACTAACCTAGAACAGACCCACAGTACAGAAACAGTCACACACAAGAAGCAGTTTAAGGGTTTGGGGTTTTTCCTTTTCCTGTTCCTAAATTCATATTTGGAAACGGACACTGTGAAATACTAAGGACAGATGCTGTTTAAAATGAATGTTCTTTAGACCTTGGTCCTGCAGAAGAATCGGTGCTTAGCCTGCACGCCTGAGCAGTCCTACTGGCTCTCCCAGACCTGCCTACCAACGCCAAGTTCACCTACGGGAGTGTTTGTAGGATGGGGCATTCGGCTGAGACTGTCACCCGTTTCAGATGTTAAGATGACACAGCAGCTTTCCAAGCATTCCCTCTTGGAAAGCTTGGCTGCTCTTATGGGCTCAGTGCACAGAAGTCGTCTGTCTTTCACATGGTCTGCGGGCGCAGTACACACGCAAGACATGGAGAAATAATATTTTCTAAACGTAGACACACATATGCACGTGTACTTCAGTCCTTTATTTCCTTATTTCTCAGGGCTGGTGCTGAGGACCACATTTTATAGCGAAGGGATATACTCGGGTTCTCTTAATTGGCAGGCCTGCACATTGTCTGGGAACTTCTGATGCTTGAAAGACATCCCGACCGAATGCCACGAAGTGGTTACAGCGGGGGGTGGGGGTGGTGGTGTGGCAAAAGCAAGGCTGTGATGCACAGAGTGGGACACGAGAGCATCTCAGCGGAGCTCTACGAGTGCAG